TCTTTGTTCTCTTCGAAGCTGATTGATAGGGCCTCTCAACCATCGGTAGTGTTTCATACCACAGTGGAAAGACTACCCAGTTATTTGAACATTGTTGAGGCCTTCATAACTTCCTTCGAATAGAACATTTGGAACACTATCAGGAGTTGTTCCTACCTCTAGCAAAAACACCAAACATCGAGAGTCCCTTCCCAAGTCATGATACCAAACGCATTTTATCTCGCCATTTATTCGAGGAAGAACATGTTGGTCTTGAAGATCTTCATCTCGATTGCATTGTCTTGAAGGTTGTGACAATCATAATGTCTCATTTGGCAGGTCAACAAATGAAGGCTCTTGAGTCGAATCCGCTCGTTGTTGGCTCTCCATCCCCCGAGCATCACAACTACAAAGAAGCTATAAATAAGGATTGAAAGTAGAATGTTATCTTGCCTAGATTTTTTTTCTTTTATAAAGAAGGTTTTCATCTTGATTTTGGTGGATGTCATCGATAAAAAATCTCCACCGCCTTTGCTTCATTTGCAAGATTATTTATTGGCTCCCATATGCGTTCACTAATATCATATTCGTACCAACAGACAAGATATTCTAATTTATTTCGGCGCCGCCTTGAATCTAAGACTTCTTCTACTTCAAACTCTTCATTATTGTCCATTTCTATAAGAGGAGGTAGAGCTTGTCGTCTTCTTGGTATGTCCACTATCTTGTATGGTTCAAGAAGAGACACGTGGAATATTGGATAGATTTTCATTGACTTCAGTAGATGTAAACGATATGCAATTGGATTGATTTGTGAGAAATAGAAAATGGTCTAAGCCATCAATAGTCTAACTTGTTACAAAGACAAGTGGTCTTGATATTATGATGAAGTAGCCAAATCTTATCACCCTAGTGGAATGGTGGTTGTTCCTTTTGATAGACATCCGCATTGACCTTTTTTTTGTTCTTGAGCTTCTTTAACTACGCCTTCATCGTTGCATGTAGCTCTGACAAATGAATCACCAAATCTTTTGCAGCAAGATTATCAACTTCTGAAAAGTCAAAAGTATCAAGTCGTGGATGATAACCATAATTAACAAAAAAAGGTATTTATTTTGTAGAAGAATGTACTGTATTATTCTAAGCAAACTCTTCCAATGGCAAAAGAGTTGTCCAATCATCTTGTTGGTAGTTAATGGTACATCTTAAGTATTGCTTCAAAACTTGATTAACACACTCCGTTTGTCCATTAGTTTGAGGATGGAATGCCGAGGATAGTTTTATATCTACTTTTAGAAACTTGAAAAGAGTCCACCAAAATCTTGATACAAATTGAGTTCTCCTATCTGATATAATATCCTTGGGTAATCCATGATAGCAATAGATATTATCAAGAAAGAGCTTAGCTGTTTCTTCACCTGTGATGGATTTTGTACATGGTACAAAATGTGCCATCTTGGTAAAACGATCTACTATCACCAATATAGAGTCATAAGAACCTGAGATTGGAAGATCTGTGATGAAGTCCATAGAAACAAAAGACCATGGTTGTTTTGGAATGAGTAATGGTTGAAAAAGTCCAAAAAGTCAATGACAAGGAGTTTTTGATCTTGAACAAACATCACATGATTGTACAAAATCTTTGACTGCCTTCCACATTTGAGGCCACCAAAAATCCCTAGATATCAGCTTCAAAGTCTTATTGTATCCAAAATGTCCTACTATTGGGAAGTTGTGACGAGTTTGAAGAATACGTAAATGTGTTTCACCTTCTAGAACATATAAGCGTCGTTCAAAATAGAGTAGATTGTTCTTGAACTCAAATTTAGAGGGATCATGAGATTTAGAAGAATTATTCTTGATATCATGAACAAGAGGGTCTGAAGACATACTTAACTGGACTTACTTTAGAAAAGTTAAATCAACAGTCAATGTTGATTTTATTGCTCGAAGATGAAATTGCTCCAACTTCAAGAGAACCATTCTTTATTGCTCAAAAGCTACATCTCCTTTTTTTGGTGCAAGATAAGAACGTCTAAATAAGGCAACGGATAAACCTTGTTGTTTTCCTGGCCGATAAGTGATGATGAACTCGAATCTTGATAAAGATATGCTCCAACAAGTTTGACGACGATTTAATACGCGTGCTGATATGAAATACTAGAGGTTCTTGTGATCCATATACACGATGAGTGGACTGGAAGCGCCTTTTAGATAATGATGCCATTCTTGAAAAGAATCCACAATTGCAAGAAGTTCTTTGGCATGAATTTCATAATTACTTTCTGTTGCTAAGAATTTTCTTGAATGAAAGGCTATTGGATGAAGTTTGTCATCTATTTCTATTTGTGACAAAACCACATCTAGAGCAAAGTCTGATGCATCTATTTCCATAAAGAACGCTTTGGAAAAATCAATACGATACAAGATTGGTACAAAAACAAACGTTGTCTTCAAAGATTCAAAAACAACTTTCGCTTCTTGATTCTATTGGAGTTTGTCTTTGCAAGTCAAACGTGTAAGTGGAGCTGCAACTCAAGAAAAGTCTTTGATGAAGATCCAATAGTAGTTGACAAATCCCAAAAAGCATTGGATAACTCTTACCGTTTTTGAAATCTTTCAATCTATAATAATTTGAACTTTCTTAGGATCCATTATAAGTCCATCATTTAAAATGATGTAACCTAAGAAATCGACTTGAGTAGTGTAGAATACATACTTTTCTATCTTGGCATAGAGTCCTGCATCTCTTAATTTTTGTAATACACGATGAACATGAAGTTCATGTTCTTTTGGATTCTTAGAATAGATCAAGATGTCGTCTAAATAACAGACCAAAAAATCATCCAAAAACTCTCAAAAAATATCATTCATTAGATGTTGAAAAGCTGCTGGTGCATTTGTAAGTCCAAAAGGCATGACGTTGTATTCAAAATGCCCATACCTAGTTTGAAATGCAGTCTTCCATTCATCTCCTTCTTTGATGAGTACTAGATTATATGCTCCCTGGAGATCTATTTTTGTATAGATCTTAGCTTGATTCAGTTGATCAAGAAGTCTAGATATTAAAGGTAGTGGATACCTGTTCTTAATGGTAATCTTATTGAGTCGTCAATAATCAATACACATCCACAATGATCTATTTTTTTTCTTCACAAACAGAATTGGAGCTCCTGCCGAAGATTTAGAATGGGGTATGAAATTCTTGGCTATATTTTCTTCAATATACTCCTTGAATTCAATCAACTCATTTTGTGATAAACTGTAGATTGGTCCGAATGGCGGTTGTGCTCCTTCTTTAATATCAATTGAAGAATCATAGGGATGATGTTCTGGGAGTGTATCCGTATTCTTTTTTTCAAATACATCTTGAAATTCTTGATATTGGCTTGGAATGCCACGTGAAGTCTTTGCACCATTAGAAACGGGTGTGACATAAATAATATATGGTGATTCTTTCATAGCAGCATGCAAGAAAGCTTTTGTACCTATAAACATGGGTTTAATTGAATTGGACTTATGACTCTCTACTTGATTAAATATACTGTTAGTTATACTTTTAGAGAAAGTAAGAGTTCGGAAAATCCAATCTATTTGAGGGTTGTATTTTTTTAACTATGATAAACCTAAAATGATTGGATTAGAGAGAGATCTAATGATATTAAATACTACAAAGCTATTATGACTATTGATTATTACTTCTATAGGAAGGATTTCATGAGTAATATCTCCAAAAGATAATGGACGACCGTCTATGACTTCTACATGAAGAGGTTTAGTTTTCTTTACTAAAGATATGTTGTCTTTTAGTAAATTCTTCATCTAAGAAATACGCTAAGGCTCCTGAATCTAACAAGGTACAGGCTTTGTAATGTTTAGATCCTAAAATAATATTTAATGTAAAACAAGGAGAGGCCTTTGAGGAGAGAATAGGACCATTACTAGATGTTGTGCAAGGTTCGAGTTGCACGGTCCCTATTGTAGCTGGACAAACTCATTTTTCGACATATTGTCTTCTTTCACAGCCATACTCTTCATTTTGTAGTTGCGTTATTTCTTTCGACAATGTTGAGTAGTATGTTTTGGTTCTCTACAATATAAACATAATCCTTCTTGACGACGACGAGTCTTTTCTTGCTCAATAAGAGGTTTGAAACGTATTGCATCAAATTTGCATATCCTCTACTTTCGAATGTATGTGTTGAAGAGGTGTTGGTATTGCCATTGAATTATAGTAACATTGAGGTCCACTTGTACGATTCTCAGATCAAAATTCAAAAAGGTAATTTTCACACTTCACAACAAAGTCAATTGCTTGACTCAATGTTTGAGGATCAAGTAAGTTGAGCATTAATTTTTTTACCTCATATTGTAATCCATAGAGAAATATAAAAAATATTACCACTTATCTACTCTGTTCAATATATTTAAAAGTATTTAATTACAAAATCTTGAATTCTTCTTGACTATTGAAAAAAAATATAATAGAATTTGATTACACTCTAACAAAAACACATGTATCTTAGAAGTAAATGTTCAACAATGATGAACAGAAATTAAAGGTTAGATTTAATATATAATTTGAAGAAAATAATGTTTATTATAAAACATAAAGAAAAAAATGAGTTCTTAACAAGAGAACTACAGCAAGATTAATCAATGGATGGTTATTTTACAAAAATTTTGCAACACTTGAACCAAAAGTATCAAAAATGAAAGAATAATAAGTTTCATAAGGTGAGAGAAAGATCCAATAGAATCACCCATTTAAATCTTTGTGTGCAAATATCAAGTAAACCAAATTAAAACATGGAGAGCTGGCAATCAGCAGAAGAAATCATTCATTGCCAGACATCACTTGAGCCTTTAATCAATCAAATAACTGTGGAGAATGTGCAGGTTGTCCTGCACAGTTCAAGTCAATTCTCTGATCCTTTCATCTGCGGTCTTTACTTACCGGATTCTAAGAGTTTGGCATGCTTCCTAATCACAGAAATACAAACTCACTTGGCACAGAATCATAGTCTGGTCAAAATGTGCACAAAATTCTTATAATATTGAATTTCTAGTGCTGTGAATCACCTCAATTAGTTGACGTAGAATTGAGTCCACTCTTATAATTGCCACACCTATAATCCCGTCTGAAATAGACCGTTCCTCAATCAAAGCTTACACCAACGAAAAGAACAAAATCCTAAGAAAACTAACCCATTTCTCAACTAACTCATTCTCCTTGGTGCTAGATGACACTAAGATCTGTCACTAGGGCAGGCTATTAGTCAAAACTGGTTCTCACTGCCACAAGATTTGATGGTCATTAACAGGTCAATTGTTTTAAAGGAATGGTATTGCGTGTAATTATCAGTACAAGCCGATTACCTTCCACCAGAAACCTCCGACCACAGTCCACACCAAGATATTCCATACGGCCATAACTGCTCCATACTTGAAAACATCCTTCAGCTCCAAATAACCAGCTGTCATAAAAACCCGAATGACAGGGAGTCAGGACATTTCAGTCCAACTCTACAAATTTTATCTGAAAAAGATACTCCATTAAACTCATAGCTGATGGTAAAACTACAGCACAAGCTACACAGTACCTACAACAGTGCAAAGAGACAAATTCACATAAAACTCGGGAAGGAGAGGAGAGGGGAGTGAAGGCAATTGAAAGACTCACAGCCGAAGTATACAGCAGCCTGGCCACTGCTGTAATGCGTGAGCCCTCCAAAAAGATTTGTATTGAAAGCAAGTGCTAGAGCTGCCAAACCGGTGGGAACTCCAGAGGCGATATGCATCGCAAGGAAAGCTGAGTAGAGGGCGCCCACATGTCCAGTTTGGCTAGCAAACAGATAGTGAGAGATGAAGTATGTAGCTTGGAGGACGCCAAAAGCTGCAGGCCAACTCAAAGAATAAGAGGCCAAAGTCTTTGCAACACCGTCAGACATCCACTTGACAAGACCAAGGTTGGACAAGTTTCCGGCCATGCCGACGAGAATCGCAAACCACGTCAATGTGTCCCATGCAGATTTCTCCTGGAGGCAATCGTTCCAGTTCAAAACTCCCACGCAAAGAAGGATGCAGAGTCCCAGCATTGCGGCAACCACACTCGCAATACCGAGGGTTTCCCTGCAAGTAGAAAGTGATCACATGAGACTCAGAAACTGAGAAAGATGTAGATTGTAAGTAGTACAGAAGAATGGGAAAGAAACTAACAAGATTGATGGTAGATGCGTACCCAAAGACCCAAAGAGTGACAGCCAAGAGCATTGTTCCCACCATGGACCATTCGTTCTGAGTAACAGGGCCCAACGCCTCTAGTTTCTTGGCGGCCGCTGCAGGAGCCTCTGGGGTGTCTTTGACTTCTGGGGGAAAGAGCTTGTAGAGGATGAGTGGGGTAGTGAGAAGAGCAGTAAACGCTGGCACAAACGCCGCTTTGAACCATGATACCCATGGATTTGCAATGATCACTCCAAGCTCTTGCGCCAGTTTCAAGCAGAGCAGGTTCTGAGCAGCAGCGGTCAGAAACAGAGCACTCGAGTTTCCAGCAGCCTGGTAATTCAAGCAAGACTCGTGATTATTAGATCATTTGACATTGTACAATTCAGACCACATCTACTAATTATCGCATAACCATTGTGACGCTAAAATCGGTGAAGGAATCAAAGTGGACACGGAATGCGACAACTAGCTGATAATTTCCCAACATGCAAACAAGACTTTGACGATACAATGGCTAACCCTTGGCTCCAAACAAGAATTCCTTGTCGAAGTAGGCGGTATCCTGTAACTTACACTCTTGTGTGTCCCCCTCCACCTCGGTTTAAACAAAACTAATGAAATTGCCCCCAAACATAACCTAAGCTGTGTACGAATGTGTGCTACACCATAGTAGAATTCGTTTAATGAGCTGAACACACAATGAGCCTCACTTAGAGCATCCTAGCAAACGGAATGAAAAAACCAATGCCAACTTCACCTGAAATTGGGTCATCACAAGGTACGACCCCAACTTGCTGGCGGACTTGTCCTTGGGCTTGCTGCCTGAGGACAGCGACAAGGAACCGATAATTGGCAAAAACACGCCTCCAGCTCGGGCCGTGGTGCTGGGCATAGCAGGCGCCAACAGAGTCTCACTCAATGCTAGACCATACGAAAGACCCAGAGTGCTCTTCCCCAGCCACTTCACAAAGTAGGTGGCAACGCGGTCACCAAGCCCTGTCTTCACGAACCCTCGCGCGAAGAAGAAAGAGATCACAATCAGCCAGATCACATCGTTTGTGAAAGCTCCGAATGCAGCAGCAAATGTCAGGGTCTTTGTGACAACTGCCACAGTCAATCCCAGAAACGCCCACGCTCCCACAGGAAGAGGCGACAACACCAACCCCGTGATTGTCGAAGCGAAAATCGCGAGCAGCTGCCACGCTTGCATTGATACGGCCTCGGGCTTCTTCACCAGAAACCGCAATGCAAGACCCACTCCCACAGACAAAACGAACGGCAAGGGTTTCACCCCCTCCCACGCCTTCTTCTCTGGCACCCCCTCATCTGTAGCCACGGCCGCGCTCGCGCTGGACGCCCTCGCGGGCTTAACCACCACATTTCTCCCCAATTGCTTCACTCCCTGCTCAACATTCCTCCTGAACCCCGCATTTGAGATCGACAATTGCGAGCCTGCATACCTCACCCTTGGCAGAAAGACGGACGTCTTCGGACCAGCTCCCTGATATGAATTGGCCGCAGATTTCTTTAACGGGGCACGGCTGTAGCAAGCCGCTCCAGTGACGCCACCACTGAGGCGCGCTTGGCTTACATAATCAGCACTGACGAAACCCTGGTAGCGATTACGGAGGTTGGGGGGCGATAAGTGCAGGCCAGCTGCAGCGTGCAACGCCATGGCTGCGGATTCTTCTTCCGCAGCAAGGGAAGACAAGGCAAAAGGAACCCGAAAGCAATCCTCGATTGGTGATGAAGCCGGGGCGAGTCCATGCTTACGCGAGGCTTTTCTGTTGCGGACCTTTTTGGGTGACGTTGATGGTGCGATCATCAGAAAACTTATGGGATGGAGGATAATCTTTGGTTAATCACGGTCACTTAACGATCACCCTTGCTGATGCCTGGGCGCAGAATCTGGATCGTCGTTCGTTCTGGGTGGGCTGCAATATCGAGACCTCTGGTTGTACTTTTAGCGACAGTGGTCCATGTTTCTTCACACAACATTTATTCTAGTAATTTTTACACATTCAGCTCTCTTTTCGCCACAATTGGCTCTGCCTTCAATATAAATTGTTGTTCCGCCAATCTGTGTGGGTCAGTACTCGCGCAGAAATCTCCTCAAGTACATCCTGATCTAATTCGAGGCCGCGAGTCGAGAGCTGCAAGATGACATCGAAATTAACAAGGGTTTCAAACTAGGCACGCTCCCAGTCCCCGACTAACAAGCAAAGTGTCATAATGTGAAGAAGAGGGATATCAATTTACATGACTGTCCAAGAGCAGCCACAATCGTAGGCGAAGGAATGTGTTGAACCGGCTGACTCCAAAAGGCGAGCACAAATTCTTTTCTGAATAGATGGCGGAGATGTGCACACTCGACAGAAATGAAATAAGTTCTCACTGCTCTATCGCTACATAATATCCTAAAATAAAGCCCGACAAAAAACAGAATGCGGGACATGGAGAAAACCGGCGAGAGAGTGCAATAGAAGGCTACTTGAGCTGAAGAAGCTCATAAATTCTGACCAGCAAGCTTCATATCCTAATCCTGAATTTGAAGCGTGATTCTTTTGGTCACGTCTACTAGACCTAAACCCTAACTACGATGAAAAGTTTCTGTTACGGAAGAAATTGCACACATCTTGACAGTTTATTTTGTTTCACATCAAAATGGTATTGGGAAAAATTACGTGCCCTATCTCAGTCTCTTGTTCACAACGGACACCGGAACACGGATGACGTGGCTCAAGGAACCCTTGAACGTAATTCTTGCGAAGCTAGACGCCTGAGAAGCTCGTGTAGCGCGCACTGTGAACACGATAGTCTGCTTGTTCCGGCGGCCCACTCCGATGGTGAACACGGCAGGGTTTGCGGTGACCACAAAGTCTGGAGCATTGGTGATGGAAATGGTGTATTTCTCCGCAACAGCAGCGACGTTCGTAACCGTTCTTGCAACATACACGGTTTTAACCAAATTGGCAAATGTGATGGAGGGGATATTAAGATCTGTGGGCTTGCCAGCAAGTCGTGGGCACGACATCTTGGTTGCGCCAAGGACTTCTCGCGGGGTGGATAAAGAGCACAAGAATCTCACGTAATCGAGATAACCTGCAGTGGAAAGGAATTGTGTCAAACTGAAATTCTTGTTTAGATTTTCAATTACGAGGACCCAAGGAGATATCAAGCAGATACAGGAGCAATATGAGATTCTAATTCACCTGTTTCGAAGATGAGTCCGGGGTTCATGGCGGCGTGGATATTGAGTGCACCACCTCCCATGTCAAACGGGGTGGCTGTCTGCAACAGGGGGCTACCATCGGGGGAGGGACTTTGAGCTTGAAGCGGACGTCCGAAACGATCTGCAACGTCTGCCGTGGTAGTCATCGCAGAAACAAGAGCTGAAGGACTCCAGGTCGGATATTTCCACTTCAACAGTGCTGCCAAACCTGCAACGTGAGGCGTTGCCATGCTTGTCCCTGATATCATAGCAAACCTTTGTCCTGCAATTTACCGATGATATTTGTCGTCAACACACCAACTCTACTTTTGATTCGATCAGCGAAAGGGTAAGTTCATCTTCACATCAGAGCAAATTCTGGAACGTTTCGATATCCAAACCTGCGAAGGCTGCTTGGGATGTCCCTATGGGAGTCCAGGCACCCCAGATCATGTATCCAGGCGCCATTATATTTGGTTTCAAAATATCTGCTTCGTTGAAGTTGAAGTCCTTGACATTTGGCCCTCTCGAAGAAAAGAGCGCCACTCGTTGAGCTGATCTTGTGTAGGTGATGGTCTGCCCGTTGCCAATCCTAGCAGTAGCTCCGAACGTAAGGATTTTACCCTTCCGATCCTTCTTCGTGAACCTATTGTAGTATGACAGTAGAATCTGAAACAGCCAACGCAGTGTAAGTTCAAAGCTTAGATATACAAAGCTTCAACCTCCGATCAGGCTACAGAATCTGTGTAAGATTTGGAGTCACAGGAACAACGATCGACAGCTTACATTTGAATCGGCAGAGGTAGGGAGGACGATGACAGGTATGGCAAGAGGAACAGGCTCAAATTTTTGACCCGAGCTATCCGAGTCCACCACCACGGTCACACCAGCCGCTCCCAATGATTTAGCCGTCTTCACCAGCTGCTGCATTGTAGACCCGCCGTAAACAAAGTCGAAAGTATACGTGCAGATGAGGATCTTTCCCCGGACGAGGAGATTGTTGTAGAGCTTTGGTGACTGGCACTCGCTTGGAGATAGAAGTGGATCTCCACGTCCTTGCACTGCGTCTTGCGCCAAAATTAAGCGATAGAGACCTCCGCCTCTCGTTGGAGCTGTGAGGAAGCAAACAACCATTTCATTTCACTCGCGAACAATCTCTTAGGTCCCCCACCCATGCAAATGCAAGTCTAGACGTCCAGTTAAACTTACGAGCTATCCCAGTTCCTTTGATGATTTGCCGATTGCCAAGAACCATGGTGTTGCGGAAGGTTCGATCGTCCACTCCTGCTGCTACTGACAGAACCCAGGGGCTGAACGACGTCACAGTCTTGGGATACGGACCCTCGTTTCCAGCTGCTTGGACGACAAGCACATTGGCCTTGACTGCATTCAGGAGTGCTATGTCCAGGACATTCAAAAAAGTGGTCGAGGAGCCTGACGGTGGGCTGTTCGGTCCAAGCGAGAGACTCAGAATGTCGACTCCGTCAGCGACCGCCTGTCACCAAGAGATTGATCTCTCATTAGCCTCCGTCGACATCACTAACTGATGCGATTTTGGATCCACAGACTGCTAGGACATGAAAAACTGCACATCAATATAGGCGTTTGAGCGACACCTGATCACAAGCGGCGATAACGTCGGGGATAAATCCTCCAATGTGGCGGTAGAGCGCTTTGTAGACAGCGATACGCGACCTCGGTGCAACGCCACTTGCTTTTCCAAAGTTAGCGCCATTCATAATAACCGGCACCCCATAGTTTCCTGCCGCGATGGATGCAGTGTGAGTCCCATGGCCTTCGCCATCCAGCGGCGACGCGAAATGGATGCTAGCATTGAACCCACCCTTCTTTATAGCTGCATTGAAGAAGCGAGCTCCGATGATCTTTCCATTGCAAGAGCCGCGAGGAAATTCCTTCGCCACATCGCATCTGCCTCTGTACTTGCGAAGGGGACCGTAGAGCTTCTGCCCCCGCGTGGTGAAACTTGGATGTGTAGGATCAATTCCTGTATCAACTATTCCAATGATCATGTTCTCCCCTGCGCCTACAGGACCGCCAAATTGCGACCACACTCCTTTATGCAGGTTCAGGTAATCCGGCGTATGCACGGTGGACGGATACACCCTGTAACTCTTCTGCACACGTTCAACTCTCGGGTGCTCAGCCAGCCGTTCCGCCTCGTCGTCGGTGAGAGAAAGCGCCACTCCATTGACAAGATGCGTGTAGCGGTACACCTTCTCACATCCTTCGAAGCCAAAAAACTCATTTAGGATTTTATCCTGTTCCTTGATCAGATAGGCATTGTACTTCTTGACAAGGTCGGAAACATGCGCTCTGGGTATCACAACACAAAATCAATCGAAGAGACAAAGACAGAATCACAACCTAATGCATTGCTTTCAAAATGATTCTTCCACACGGACAGCAGTGAACCACAACGCAGAAAATGGTACCTTTTGTGAGTTTTCCTCCATCTTTCCGAGAAGTACTTGGCAGTGCCGCGCAGTCCGAGGATTTTTCCATTGTAGGTCACTACTGGCATCTGATCGAAGACAACCATGTACACATGTGTCTTCGGACTGGCTTCGGTAGGCTCATATGATTTCGCTTCAGAGGTGATAAGCAAAGACAATCCCAAGGCCGCCAGTACCACCATCCATATTGTTACCCTTTGCCACCCCCTTCCAGTCTCCGGGGTTCTCATCGAAAATGCGACCCTTGTACTTCTGTGAATAAACCAGGTCACATTGACAGCGAGCCTTCAGAAATGGTGAAACTTTTTTACAAATTGATGGTCCTCTTGGTGGTGCGATTATCTGAAGTGATGTCAGTCGTTTCTTTTCACATGGAAATTGGGACACAACGCAGTCCAGGTGCGAAAGAGAGACCGTACACCCGTAGCCTGCAAAGCAATGTGTTCGCTTTAGAGATTGAGACATCCACCAACCCAGCTTTTCGAGTGCACTCATTGATTCGACAATGAATTCCAGAAACATCGTTTCCGGCTCTCCATGTACAAAAACAGCATATGTTAGGAATTGAACTCTAGTAGCACGTTTAACAGGAACCTGTGCAGATATCTAGGGCTGGGGAACAACGGTTCTAAACTCGGGCAGCAGCTTCCTAGTCACGACACAAACAAAACAAAGAACAACAAACTCTAAACCGTGGGAAGCATTCCACTGTGCCATGGACACGCCACTGGAATCCCCACGTTTGGCTTTTTGCACGCTGGGTCCGTGAATTGAACCCAGACTTCCACGTCAATGGAAGGGCAACTCTACAGCTACATTACATTTATACTCGGTTTATTTGACGATACCAACCATACCCACATAGCAAGCCAAAGCCGAGAAGGCTTCCTTCACGATTCCTTGACGGTTGCTCCGACTCTAATGCTAAATCTCAACGCTCTACAAACGCTTTGTACGAACATTTCAAAATTGCGTTTAAAAACAATGACTGTCCGACAAATTTAACAATGCTCATGGCCCCAAACAGCGAAACACAAACCAGCATTTCGACGAGCTTCCATTGCGAACTCATTAGCGACAATGCCACCCACTCTGACGTTGATCAATCTATAGCAAGCTGTACGCCAATCTAGGAGACGCTTGTTCCCAGTCAAAGCAACCGAATCCTTTACAATCATTCTATTAAGCACCCTCCTTCCACATGTGAAAAATTCCCGGACAACAACCTCCCAGTAGAGATTGATTCGATCAGCAACCGATACTCACCTGCTCAGTGACAGGAAAGCAATGAAGTTACGGGTTAACGTCGACACTGCTGATCACATCAACTTGCGGACATGGTCCCAAGGCACCCACTGTCACCCTCCGCAACTTTCTGGCGCGATGGAACAGTCGAGCATAGACCTCCCACCTGAATAAAATCCACCTGCGAGTATCATGGGAAGGGTAATGCGGTTGGAGGAGGGGCCCGCGCGCCACTAACAATCAGCAGACTAGAACGGGACCGTGAGGAACAGCTGCCGTGCTAAGCTGAAGCACGCTGGATCCCGCTGGATTGAATGCCCAATCCAATTCCAATACCCCTCCCCCACCTCACCACAAACCTCAGAAACCTGGCCGTAATTTCAGAGTCCGATACTTGAGCTCGAGCTTGAGGGCCATGGTGGATGATCGCCGGCATTCTTGCTACGGAGCCCGCACTCATTGGACTCTGGGCGTAGTGGACCTACCCAGATCTGAAATTACGGTCCATTGCGCCCCAAACCGATCACCTCCACCCCGGTCATCCCGTCCGACCAACGCTCAGATTTCAACAAACAGATGGCGCGAAGTCGATCCCCGCCCCAGGCTTCAGATTCTGTGTACATCCTACACCTTCTGGGGCACGTCGACATCGCATGCCCTGGTTGTTGTCCAGCTTCCGGAGGGGATGAGGAGGGTCAGCACAGTGCCATGCAGGGACCTACGCATTCGGCAGCTTTGGAACCATCAAGAGGTAAGTTAATCTCCCGGCTTCTGCGTCCGACTGCTCGATTACCGAAAAAGGAACGACTATCCGACAAGGCTGCAATACAGTGAAAATAACTGATTCTTATTCGGATCTCGAATTATACGTTGCTTCGCCCAGGGAGGTGGGAACAGACGATTCTCGCACGCCAGTTGAATGCGTTTGAAGGAAAAGAGCAACGTGGCGACAATCACATGCAATCAGGCATAACGACGACGACGAAATCGCTGCGACGCAGCCTGATCGAGGCACGTCGTCATTCGGCTGTGAAGGTACTGTTTGAAGCAATGAGTGGAGCTGATTCTGGAATGGTGGGATATTGGTGGGAGAGTGCGGATCAACAGTACGGAGGAACACTATTTTTCTCCCTTTAAAAAAATCAGTGTCAGTACTTGCAACTCAGTCATTTGAAGATGCAAAAACGGAATGCTTCGAAGCCTATTTATTGCTTCGTTAACATTGATGATTGAACAGCAAACTCGTTGAAAAATGTTTATATGTGTTGATATATATATATATATATATATATAAATGAAAGTATTATTATCATCATTTTATTTGTGTTTGTGCATCAAGATATTATAATTATCTTGATAAATAAAATAAAAATTTAAAATTCTAATGTTGTTCATGGCCCAAGAAGAAGCTTTTATTAGACTAAGATTAGATAACAAATATAATATCTTTCCATGTTCCTTTAACAACAAGGCATTTTTCAAATTAGAGCAATCTGATCTCTTTTGTATAACATGTGCATAGATAATATTTGTCATTTATGTTATTTGTAGGTTTTTTTTTCCAAATATTGAGAATAATATCTTAATACCATGTGAATTATATATATATATATTTATATATATATATATATATTCTTTTATTTTTTTGGTTTAAAAATAATCTTTGTTTAAAAAGATCCAATGGCACTTCAACAACTACAATAACTATAGTTAGGATATTTTTTTGTTTCTACATTATAATGCTATTGTTCCAACAATATTAATTACTTATCAAGTCTTTAGCAAGTATGTTTAGTTGTTTGTCAAAGTAGTTATTATACTTCTAATATATAAATCTATAAAAAAAATCTATAAAAAATCATTAAAAAATTATAATAAAATCCTAAGTAAATCCTAAAAAATATTAATAAAATCCTAAAGGTACTCCAATCTAATCTTAAGTAAGTTCTAATTAATCCTAAAGATATTCTAATCAAAATTTAAATAATCCATAACCAAATCTTAACCAAAATTAACAAGAGTTGTGAAGCCTCAGTAATTATTACTGAAATTGTTGATCTTCCTTCAAAAAAAATTACATTTCAATCTACTAGTTAATAGCAAACACACAAATTCCAAAGAGATTTGAACTTAAAAAAGGGAATGAAAAGCTCCTAATCTACTTAGGTAATAACCATCCTCCTTCTCCAACCTTGATATTAATCTTCCAACAATAATAGCACTTTATTATATTATTCAATTGCCTTTGAAATTTGTAAAAATTTTATAAATTAATTTTATTATTAATTCATAAGAAAATATTTTAATCCAACTAATAAATTACTTAAAATTTATAGAAATTCTTATTAACCTTTAAAAACTAATTTCTAAGATCCTAATTCAATTGAATTTTAATAACCTTTAATTTGATTATTTGATTAATTTTAAATTTACAAAATATATTTAAAAAAGTAGATTTATAATTCTACATATTTTCACTAATCAATCTATTATAATTCTCTTTTTTTTTCTTTTTTTTTTTTATAAATATAAATCTTCTTTAATTTTATAAAATTCAAAATCACCTAAAATAATCTTGATTTTGTAAAGTTCTAAGAAAGTCAATATCTACTTAAATTACTTAAAAAATATGTTGTAATGAATCTTATAAATCTTGCTTTTTAATCTTATTTTCTAATCAACAAAAGAACCTTGCAATTGTCATAAGTATTGAGTTTGTGCCTGAGACTTTGGTTTCAGCCTTAGTTCACAATTAGTCCTCTCTAAGTATTATTTTTTAGTTTTTATACGTAAATTTTGCGGGTGGATATTCTTTACTTCCACTCAAATATGCTTATAATATTTATAATATTATTTTTGATAATTCACTTTGTTTTGTCTTGTTTATGGTTGTACAAATTAAGTAGAAATTCTTTTTACAAAAAGGTAGCATTAACACAAAATATTTGTAGTACCTTCCTATCTTTTTTTCTTTTTTTTCTTTTCTTTTTGTTTAAATAGTTTCTTATTATATTCTTTAATTAAGATCTACTATAAAATAATTAATGTTTTTTTATCCATTAGTAGTATTATAATACAATACTATTCCATACAATCTCTTAACAATCACTTACAAATTTATAAGAAAAAATATAGTTTATATTAAAATTATATAGATCCATAAAAAGAATTTATTTTATATTATATATATTAATTATATTTATTAAAATAACATCTCTATAAATAGCTATCATGGACATATAAATTTATTCTAATAGTTACTTATATGATTAGATAGAAGTAGATAAATATAAATTAACTTCATAAAGTCTTCTTGAGAAGCTTCATAGACGTGGTTTTGACTTTAGATATGTTTGTAGGTTGAAAACTTAGCAAACAAGTTAACCACATGTTAGTAGCTTGTAGAACAACTTAACTATGTGGCGCATACATAGATATCTTGCCTTGCAAGTGAAGACATGTGGCTAGCAAAGTCAACACATGTTCGAGGTTCTATAGAATATCACCACGTAGTTCTTAGTTAGAGAATATATATGGAGGCAAGAGTGAAGCCTTCTTCATTCTTATCAATGTCTTTTAAGTCCTTAGTCTTATTTCAAGACTTTCTAGTCTTCTTCTTTTTGGCAATAGCTATTCTAATTTAATATTATATCACCTTTTGAGTGATTTTCTACTTCTCTTCAATGACACAAGAGCGTATTGAAGGTTTTCTTTCTTCAAGATTCATGTCCTTGATAGTTTGATAAGAGTGTTAATATATTGTAGTTGTCTTGTTTTAGAAGTGAGTGGAATTTCCTACTTCTATTGTTGTATTTTGAAGGTTGTAGACTACTCACCTTTAAAGAAGAAATCTTATTTTTTAACACTGATCTTTTCCTTAAAGAGAGTGGATTATCCTGTTTTATCAAAAAATTTATTAGAGGCTATAGATTATCTTCTTTTAATTTAATTTTTTGGATTTATTTAAGATTTTTATAAAAAGAAAGATTATGGATGCTATTCCTAGCAGAAGTGAGAATAGATTTGCAACTATTGCAAATTTTCAAGGGCTTATCAATACTCTTAGGGTCGAAATTTCATACATCACCAATGTCAATCATGAAAGCACTACTTCTATACATAGGAAAGAAGTCCATAGTCTATGTCAAGAAGTTGTGTAATTGAAGAAAACAAGTCGATCAACCTTACAACCAAATTTAGTGGGTCTTCCTTCTATAAGTTTAAAAAAGACAAGAATTAGTATATCTAAGAAGTTTAATGGAATAAGATCAAAATTTTGAGGGTTTTTACAACAAATTAAGCTCTACTTAAGGTTATATAATTTCCAATATGCAGATGGATTTACTCAAATCGGCTTCATAGGTACTCTTCTATCTGAAAATTTTCTTTCTTGGTTTACACCTTCAATGGAAAAGGATTCATAACTTCTTTATGATTTAAATTCATTCTTAGAAGTATTTACAATCACATTTGGAGAAAGCAATCAAGAGTAAGTAGTAGAGATCAAATTCTTATCTTTACAATAAGGATCTCAATCAACCACCACATGTGCTGCTAAATTCTAAAACCTTACTTGCAATGTGGACTTGAATAATAAAGCGCTTATCAATCAATTTTGATATGAGTTGAAGGATAGCATCAAAGATTTGTTATTAATAATGTCAAAAGTAGAATCTTTGGAACAATTTATTACTCAAGCCATTGCATGCAAAAATTGATTATTTGAAAGGCATCAAGAAGAAAGACTTAGTTGGAAAGAAACAAGTCAAGTAATAGTGAACACTAACAAGTTTTTTGAAACATATTCATCAAAACTAGAACTAATACAAATTAATACAATATGTTTTAAAACTCTCACGAAGCAAGAAAAGACTTGACATTGCTAAGAGAGTTTATGTTTATATTGTAGAAAAGTTAAGCATTCTACTCAATATTGTCTTAAGAAGCAATGCAATTACAAAATGAAGAACACAATTACCAAAGGAGATAATGTGTTGGAAAATAAGTTTTTCCAACTATAATAGAGACCGTGCAATCGTAATCATGTGCAACACCTAACAAAGGTCCTATTCTCTTTTTAGATCCTTCACCTTGTTTTATAATAGATGTGTGTTCAAGACCTAAAAATTACAAAGTCTTTGCCTTATTAGATTCAAGAGCCTCAGCCTATTTTATAGACAAAGATTTTGTCAAAAATAAAAAAAAAAAATCTTTAATCAAGAAAACTAAACCCGTACATATAGAAGTCATAGTTGGTCGTTTGTTGTCTTCTAGAAATGTTATCCATGAGATTATTCTTTTAGATATAATAATTAAAGATCATAACAGCATAATAACAT